ATAGCCAATGATTATATAATTCAACCCTGTAAAAGTGTTCAACTGGCCTTGGTCAGTCTTTTTGTGTATTCTTTCAAAGTTACAAACCATCAAAAAGATGAAAACTGGTACCAGCCACCTTAAAGCTTGGCAGAAAAACATGAAAATATCTCTTTCCTCAGATCTGATAAAGCAAACTACGAATAAAGCCAGTAAATATTTGTAAAAGTAAAGTTTGATGGCAAATTATGGAGAGATATTTCTGCTTGAGTAGATGAAATTTTGGTTTTAAGATCATGCTATATATAAGTATGGAAATTGGAAATTTTAATTTTCCACATTTAAAGAAATTTTCAATGGAGTGTCTGAAGTATTCTGCGATTGCTATGGTTTTACTTTCTTCGCTTTGTGATTGGTCCATAAAACTCGGGCTACCCTCTCAGCAAATTAGATGCAGAGCTATAAACAATCGCAACGTTCTCATTCGCGTTTCAAGCTGCTTCCTTTCACTTTGAGTCCTCACTGGTTAGGGATGACATCGGTCTTATTCTGACGGGTCGCTATGATAAATTTGGTTTAAGTTTTACTACACTTAATGGTAAACTTTTCAATGACTAGTTTCAGCTTATCAGTCATGCCTTGCTGAATATCAGCACATGTCCAGTGTAAAGTTTATGGTTGAGAAGGGATTGTAAAAGTGGACTGGGTAATGGTTAATTTTAAATAAGACAATTGTCACCTTCAGTAGTTTCTAAAGATATGCCATTTTGGTGTTTTTAAAAGTGATAAAAGAAAACGGGTGACTTGACTTTTTATTTAAGGTTCCGATCAACATGACTTCGGGCGAGAAGACTTTGAAACGACTTGACCGTAAACCTGGCGGTTTCGTGGGCGCCATTGGGCTGGGCAGCAAAACTGCGAGAGGCTTGGCACGAAATAAAAAGCTTTCTCACACAGCCCACGGCTTACACAAAACCGCCATTCACCAATAATTGAGATCGGCAGCTGAAGTCATGTCGCCCGTAATTTTTGGTTGGACAGTTGGACAGTTTTAAAAAAAAAAAAACAATAGCCTAACTAAACAATTACAACTGACTGGCTATAAAATGAATAAGTAAGAGGACTTACATACTCGTCCAATTTTGGTAAAAATTGGATGAAAAAAATCGTCTGAGAGCCAAATCGGCTGTAAGCCTCGACCAATTTTGGCTGTCCTCAGATTTCTTATTTTTTTTATCCCACGAGAGTGCTATAATTGAAAGGAAAAGTTACAAATGACGAGTCTTACTGCGACTAGCCATGTTTCCCGAGTAGAAAGCTTATGTAAGAAACAGTAATTCTATACAAAAGATGATAAAACTCTGTCTCAAGAACGTAATTCTCTGTTTGACTTAACTCGTTGTACGAAGTGCTTGTTTCATATGATCATCGTAATGCTTATGCAGGGCGCCCTTAGTACGAAATAACACCTGACAAATCCAGCAGCTGAACTCTCGGTCCAAGTGTACTTTGTTGTGACGCCGAAGGTTTCCTGCATCGCTAAAGCGCTTGTCGCACACCTTGCACTGGAAAGGTTTTTCTCCGGTATGCACCCTGTCATGTTTTCCAAGGCTTCCCGCTTCGCTAAAGCACTTTCCGCAAACCTTGCACTGAAAAGGCTTTTCCCCAGTATGTACCCTGTGATGGGTTCCGAGGCTTCCCGCTTCGCTAAAGCACTTTCCGCAAACCTTGCACTGAAAAGGCTTCTCTCCAGTATGTACACTGTGATGTTTACGGAGGCTTCCTGCTTGGGTAAAGCACTTATTGCAAACCTTGCATTGAAAAGGCTTTTCTCCAGTATGTACCGTGTGATGTTTACGAAGGTTTCCTGCTTGGCTAAAGCACTTGCTGCAAACCTTGCATTGAAAAGGCTTTTCTCCACTATGTACCGTGTGATGTTTACGGAGGTTTCCTGCTTGGGTAAAGCACTTATTGCAAACCTTGCATTGAAAAGGCTTTTCTCCAGTAAATACCGTGTGATGTTTACGAAGGTTTCCTGCTTGGCTAAAGCACTTGCTGCAAACCTTGCA